ATACACACACATACACGCACACGCGCACACACGCCCCATCCACGTCCTCCCTCGCGCGCTCCCTCTCTCTCTTCCTCCCTCCCTCGATCCTTCTCTCTCTCTTTTGCACGCGTCTGCCAGCGACGGTCTGCAGCCGGTCAGAACTCGTCTTCATCCCCGGGAATCTGCGAGCTCCCCCTTTTCCTCCAAACAGGCGGAGGGAGGCAGCTCGAAGTTTACACCCCTCTGCCGCTGCCAAAGCCGAAAAGCCTTTTTCTTCAGCTGCTGCTTTTTTCCCTCCTGGTTTTTGTTTTTGTTTTGCACGGGGGTGGGGTAGGGTGTGTTTCTTGGTGGGAGCGATGATGGGAGGTTGGTTTTGATTTTTTAAATTTTGCATATTTCTCTCTCTCTCTTTTTTTTAAACTGGAAGAGGAGATACAAGGGACGAAATTGGAAAAAAAAATTTTTTTGTTGTTGTTGGCTTTTGTTTACCTGACGTGTGTGGCAACCGGCTCGCGTCCTCTCTCTGCGTGCTATCTCTGACCTTCCTTTCTTTTTGCTCCTTTAAAAACATATATTAATTTCTCCCTTCTGTGCAATGGAGCGTGGGGGGGTGGGAGGGGGGAAGGGTTTGAGAATCCACCCAAGCCCGGCCCCTATTCCCCAGAACACCAATAATAACCCCCTTTAAAACATTTACCTTCTTCCCTGCTCCTCCTCCTCCCCTCCCCCCACCCGCCCCCAACTCACAACTCTGTTGAGTCCAGAATCTCAGAATCAGGCGTGGGGCTTTGCCGGGTGCTTCAGATCGATGGTAATTATTTATTTTTTTTTCCAGTTTTATTTTTGTAAACTGAAATCAATGATTATTTAAACTTCAAACAAGCAGACAAGGAAAATAAATAAATAAATAAACTGAGAGCCCAGCCCTCTGTCACCTGACTGAGTCGGAAAGAGGGTGGAGGGGTCAGTGGGAAGCTGGGGAAGGGGCCGAAAGACGACCCTCGTAGCTTTTTAACTCTAATGTGGCCAAGACAACCACCTTATTTGTACTAACAAGAAGTGTTTTGTTCCTTATTACTGTGATTAACATTAGTATGGGTGTCGGTAACAATGCTGAAATCACATATTTAGGGTTTAGATCTGACTAAAAAATTCTGGGGTGGATGTTCCAATTGGATTAGGAGAGAAGATGGGGAGGGGGGGGGAGCCAAATCCGTTGCATCTCTCGTGGATGTCATTTTCTCTCTTCTTGGGGGTGGCCAAAAATCGACCGGTGTCGGACTCGAGGCAGCCCCTGCGCGCCTCGTGTGTGCGTCCACGGTTGTCTATGCAGGGCGGCTACGCGCCGGGCGAGCTGACACGAGTTCAAGGCTGCGATAGAACATGGAGATGTCATGGGCGCGACAGAGCCTGGCGGGGATACCAGCAGCGTGTGTGTGTGGACAGCAGTGTTGTCTGTGCGCGCGCGTGTGTGTGAGTGAGTGAGAGAGAGAGAGAGAGAAAAAAAAAAATAGGTGTGTGCACAGGCTGTTGGTGCCTCTGTCTAGCGTCTGAGGCTGGGATGGGAGCAAGTGGCTGGTTCCTCTGGTGGTGGCTTTAAACCACACTTTTGCAGAAAAATTGAAAGAGGAAATTGGGGGGGAGGAGGAGATTTTTCCTGGTGCTCCCCCCTTTTAACGCTTCTTTTCTCCTTCTCTCTGTCCCCCTCATCCCGTCTTCCCTTCCCCTCCTCCCTTCCTCCCTGCCCCGCATGCTCCCGGCTTGCCGCCTGCAGGATGAGTTCCACCCGTTCATCGAGGCGCTGCTGCCTCACGTCCGAGCCTTCTCCTACACCTGGTTCAACCTGCAGGCGCGGAAGCGCAAGTACTTCAAGAAGCACGAGAAGCGGATGTCGAAGGACGAGGAACGGGCGGTGAAGGACGAGCTGTTGGGCGAGAAGCCCGAGATCAAGCAGAAGTGGGCATCCCGGCTGCTGGCCAAGCTGCGCAAGGACATCCGGCCCGAGTTTCGCGAGGACTTCGTGCTGACCATCACGGGCAAGAAGCCGCCCTGCTGCGTGCTCTCCAACCCCGACCAGAAGGGCAAGATCCGCCGGATTGACTGCCTGCGCCAGGCCGACAAGGTGTGGCGGCTGGACCTGGTCATGGTGATTTTGTTTAAGGGGATCCCCCTGGAAAGTACTGACGGGGAGCGGCTCTACAAGTCGCCCCAGTGCTCGAACCCCGGCCTGTGCGTCCAGCCGCACCACATTGGAGTCACAATCAAAGAACTGGATCTTTATCTGGCTTACTTTGTCCACACTCCCGGTAGGTTCCTCTCCACATTTTTTCCATTTCATTTTTACTGGCTGGCTTTCGTTCTGTGTATTGTGCCTCTCATTTTCAAAGGATAGCACGCATCGGGCCTAACTGGGGCGTCCGTCTGCTGGGGCCTGCAGATGATGGTATTCCCTTTTCCTTTCCCTCCTCTCTCTTTCTCTCTCTCTCTGCTGTATTACCGATTTTGTGCATCTGTCTTTGGAGGACTTGTCTGATCCAAAAGGCGCTGCAGGTCGTAGGACCAGAGCCAGGGCGCACCAGAATTATCCCTGATGATGAGAGTCTGAGGGAAACAGCAACAACAACAAAAAACAATGTTTGCTTTTAGACAACATGAATCTGAAAAAAATCTTTGAGGCCCAGGCTTGGCTTTCCTGGGGCTGCACTGCAAATCCTGGTGAAAAGCTGTATTTGGCACAGGCAGGGTGGGCCACAGTTTGGCAGGGAAAGGGGAGTATAAGAACCGTGGGGTATGAGCTGGAATGAATAAAAAAAGAGGAGAGAAAGCAGCAGCGGACAGGTTCTGGGGCCTGATGCCCAGGCCTGAGGCAAGGTGGTACACACAAGAGTAGGATAGAGAGAAGAAGGGCTCCTTGGCTAGTATTTGGCTGTTGAAGAGCATGAAAGTCGTTTGATTTTATAGAGAGAAAGAGTGGCCCAAAGTACCCTGTTTGCTGAGGTCTTCCTCTCTACCTGCTGTGGCTGAAGTGGGCTGAAGTGGGTGAGAACCGAGGACAGAGGCTGCCAGGCAGGGCTGGGCAGCTTCTGCTAGTTCCAGAGGCTTCTTCCCACGCGGCATGGTCAGGCAGCATGGTTTTCGGTGTGAGAGAGCGAGCTCGGGAGAAATCCCACTGACATAAAACTCTGCGGAATCACCTTTTGTGTGTGTGTGTGTTCCAAATCTTTTTTCAGTTCTCTTTGCTTTTCCAGTTTTGCCCTGCAATTTGGGTTGGGGTGATTCTGTTCTCCTCCGTTCCTTTTTTTTTTTTTTTTTT